GAACTTTAAGTAAGTTTACCGTTTCATACTACATTTAAAAATCATTTAAAATGTAACTGTGCATAAAGGTGGCCCAAACATTTGGCATTTTTAGAAAATACATGCAGAGAGAGCATAAATAAGCAAGTGCTCCATTTTGTCACCTTTTAATCTTCAGTGTATATGTGCAAATAGTTCAGATAGGTGTACACGACAGAAATTTGAAACAGCAAAAAAGCAGTAACATAGCTTTTTAATAAAAAAATTACGTTCTTGGATCATAATTTTAATATAGGCTTAGGGGAGATGATTGCAGAGTAAATACACGTTTGGTCCACCTTAAAAGAACCCAACAACATAAGTGATAACTTTGGTGTGGTTTGATATATCATTTTCTGATCAGTTAATGTTATAGGTTACCTCAGTGTCCGTCTGTCCTCCTTATGGAATCAGTGAGCTGTCTGAAAAGTTTAAGGTATGTGAGAAACTTTTACCATGAGCATCCTCCAAGGCTCACAGTTTTTAGTAAGTACACGAAGACACAAGTAAAGCTTTGCAGAAATGCCTATCAATTCTTTTTTCCTAGTTTTCATGCACACTGTCAATGTAAGATACTGAATATTCAAAGGAAAATGTGGTACATGTACACCACATAGCTAAAGTAGCTTTTCTGTGAAGTGCCTTTGAAAGGGGAGAGGTAACCAGCAGGTTTTCTTGGGGAAAACCCCCTAGAAACCTCAACATATGTTGAGTTATATGCACACGATAAAAGTGAAAGGGTTACGTCCTTTACTGTGCACGTGAAAATTGTGTATCGGTGTTTGTTTTGCACCTTTCAGGTGAGAGGTGCCAGCCTCTCATGTATGTGTGGTAAAGTCCTGAGGCTGATGTGCCTCTCCAAGCGGCTCAGTATTTTCCAGAATTCCAGCAACAGAAAATGTTTTTTTTTAGTTGTATTCAACCATTGTATGATTTTTCTTTGTTCACACACGTATGTGCCACCTATGTGAATGTGAAACAGCAGGCACCCTCAGCAGCAGAGCCCACCTGTGTGGGTGCAGCTGTTGTGTTGAGTGATACAAGGTCTGCACAAGTGAAGCTGACAATGATGTCGTTTAAGGAAGCTTAGTCAAGTTTCTCAGCTTCTCTGGGCTATGTTCTCAAATGTATTGCTGCATTTGTAGATATCTTTCCATTGTTTCTCCATGAAGAGGAGAATGGTTTTAATCCCATGTGTGAAGAGGTCTTTCCTGCCTAGTAAGTAAGTTTACTACATAATAAAAGGTGTAGCAGTACTGAAGTCCTGGGCCATCAGATGATGCCCTTGGTGATCTGAATAGTTCCAAAGGCACAGGCACTTGTGTGTTTCCAGTAAAGGAAGCAGTTTCACACATAAATGATATAAAGAGGTGCTCTTGGAGGTACCAAAATTTTTGTTGCATTGAGGCACTATGTTAAAACAAGGTAGATCCATTAAGAAAGAAATGTGACTACAGTGATACAGAACAAAAATTAAGGGAATTCTAGTTCAGCAATATAAAAATAGAAATATGTAAATATTTGATCTGTCCAGTGTTAAGTCCTGGAATAATTTCCTCTATTTTTTTGTTCCAGTATTTTGGGATTTTGTTTTGTTTGTTTGTTTGGGGTTTTTTATCTCTTCATCTTTGTAGGCTATGTGGGTGAGGAAATTATATTATTCCTCTTACATAGTAGCCTGGGTACTCCTTCTGTCGGAAGAATCGAATTGGTATCTGCCTCAAGGGTCCCCCAAGTTGTTATATCATATGCTGATATTGAGTCTTTAACCTAACCTATAGCCATGTGTCTACACTAAGTAATATTTAATAGACTTAAATTTTCCTTGCATTTAATGAAAATGTGCTCTATTGTCTGGAAATTAAGGAGCAAACTTGAAAAAATATCCATCTGTATTTTAGTTTTTGCTTAATACTTAATATACCGCTGTATAAGGCAAAACTGTTGAGAGGGATTTCCTGCCGCCGTTATAGAACAGCCAGAGACACAGAGATCCTGTCATTCCTCAAAAAGCTGGGAAAGGTGGCTGAAAACTTGCAAAAGAAGTAATTGAACCAGGCTTGCCATGGGCTGGATAGGATTCTTTCTGCTCTGTGAACTCTTCAACCTTTTTCTCCAATTCCATTCCTTCTGTAGGTAAAATGTTAGGTTTTGTCCATTAATGAGTAGTGTGACATGCAAGATAAGTACTTGGGTTTGAACACCTCGTGGTAAAAAGGGTCTTACATTGATGCAGAAAGTAAGAAATCTGTATATAAGTGATACTTATTAGTAAGAAATGAAATCTCCTATTACCTAGGGTTTGCTTTGTTGCTAATGTGTTCATCTATCCTTTGGTGCACACAGAAGGGCAAACCATCATTTTATTAGTATACTTTCTAAGCTTCATATGAGATCAGAAAAATTCAGATATAGATTGTCTTATTGGAAAAGAACAGGAAGGGGGTCAGTGCTTATTCTTCCCTTTCCACATTAGTGAAGAGCCAGGGCTTTTAGTCTTGCTGTAGTGGAGGAGAACTGAATTTTGTTTCCAAGGTTCTATTTTTTAATAGAAAATTCGATGTAATAAGCAGTTTACCTAGACCTCTCCATTATTTAATTGCATTCTTTAAGCTGGTTATTATACAAAATTCCTGAATGTCTTCAGTTGTTTTTCTGCATTATAAGTGAGCAGCTGTATAAGATGAGTTAAATCGCATGTGTAATCCAATAATGTGGCCAAAAGCATTAAGTTTCTTCAGCATTTTGCCTAATTCTGTTGACCTGCTTTTCTCATCTGACTCAATACTGAAAAGGGTTTTTTAAGCAGGTTAGTAAAACATAAAACAAAAAGAAAAAAACCCTTTTGCTTACTCCTGTCAAGTTTTCATTAGCATAAAGCATTACATGTAATGCATCACGTTCGCAGTGAGGGAGAACAGATTATTTGGCCTCATAGCTTTTGCTGTTGCTGCATCCTCACCAGAATGTGCCCATATGAAGTCTCTGTTTTTAGTGTGGGAGTTGGTTGATTTCAGTAGTGTCCAAATGGATTATGTGTATTTATCACGATTCCTGTTAGTTAAGTTGAAGTACCGTTTTCTAGGCTTAAATATCATCTTAAAGTAAAAAATACCCACTTCACCAAAACAGTATTTCATACAAATAACACTGATTACTTATATCTGAAAGGTGAAAACAAGTCCACCACACACACAAAATCTCACAGAAACAACAGAATTGTCTCACTAGAAATACATTGGTTAAGTGGTGCAAGTCTCAGTCCTAAGGGAGAAGGTAGCTCAGAGCAGGTAGTGGAGACAAAGGATATCATCAAGACCTCTATAGACAACACACCTACCATTATCATTTATTAAACTCAAGATTCCCTGTTTCTACTAATAATCTATTTAGCTGTTCATGATTTTTTTAAATGTCAGCCATGAAGATATATATTTGAATCAACATCTGGAAATGTGGGTGAGAAGCCTGTGGGTTCCACATAGCATGGTGAAAAAACTGAGTTGTTAAATGTCCCTACTGGATTCTCTTCCTTAAGCTGTCTAAAATCTTTGCTTAAGCTTGTGAAAATAAAGGTCAGGAGTTATAGTGCTGTCCTGGTACACCCACAGAAACGTTTCTTTCTTGTATGATTTGATGGATAGTAACATAGTTAATAGCTGAAATCAGATAGTGTTAAATTAAGCTTCAGAGTGGGGTAAATGGCAGCTGAGCTCATTGCTGCATAAAGGGTGATCCTGCCCTTTACTGGTTCTTTTAATTTCTGGCTTCAGAATCCTCATGTCCTACCTTCCTCCCAGGTCCCCAGTGCCCTGCTCAGAGTGGAGCGATACAGGGAGAAAAATGATGGGAAAATTTAATTCCTCCCCCCAATTAATTTTCTGTTGGTTCAGGTTCATGGGTTAGCTCACTGAGAGGGCTCTGGTCAATATTCAGATCAGTGCCTAAGGAGCAGTCATGCAGACAGGAGCTGGATTGCCCCTTTTGGAAATGCCTGGACCTTTATCTGTTTTCCCTCTGAAACTTCATCTTTGCCAAAAAAATCTCATAGAAACCAACAGGAGAGCATGTTTTTCCTCAGAGATAATATGATAATGATAAGAAAGAATTTATCACTAAATATTTAATTATTATTGTTCCTCACAGAAGGGGAAAAGAAGTCTTTTCGCTGAGCTTGTGATTAGAAGCTGGGTCTTTTGGGCAGCAGGGTCTTTTGGGTAGCAGGATGCTTAGCCATTTGGTTGGTGTAGTGTCAGGCTGCTTGTTATTTGGGCAGTTGGAGAAGAAGTGCTACTTCTTTGAAAGCTAGATTTTAGGAATCAATATACCTGCGCCTATATACACCTACAGCTAAGCTGGAAATAATGTCTGTAATGAGAGACAGCAAACCTTAAATAGTCTCTCATACTTAACAAAAGAAAATACAACGGATTGTTAATATGTAGATTTGACACAGAAAATTGTCCTCAGATTCTTGTATGGCCAATGTGATTGTAGAGTGTGTTTTGAAATCTTTAAGTTATATGTGTTAGTAACTCAGGTTTTGAAAACAGAAGTGGGACACTGTAAATGAAGATTGATTTATTTATTATTCCTGCTATATAAATAACATTGATTAAAAAGCAATGCAAATTTGCTCAGGCACTCATATTTCTGCTTTTATTCTGTACATGGTAGATACCTTTGTTTAAGACTATGCAATTTTTGCCCTCTTCTTATATTTGGATCAATTTCTGTTAAAGTGAAATGATTTACTCATGAGCTTTGAAGTAAACATAATAGGAGTACATGTGTCTGTTATTTTTCTCCTTTAGATTCTCTTATATAGTTTTCCATGTGCAGTGTGTATTTGATAGGAGATACATTTATTATTGTAAACATGCCAAGAATATTAGGTAGAGTTATAAATTGAAAGAAAGAAATACACAGTATTAGTGTTTCCTCCTATTCTTGCTATATAAATTTTTTTCTCATCTATGCAGGAGGTTGCATCAACAATTTGAAAGCTATAAAGAACAAGTAAGAAAGATAGGGGAAGAAGCCCGCCGTTACCAGGGAGAGCACAAGGATGATGCTCCAACATGTGGAATCTGTCATAAAACAAAGTTTGCAGATGGTTGTGGCCATTTATGCTCTTATTGCCGGACCAAGTTTTGTGCTCGATGTGGAGGTCGTGTCTCTCTGCGATCAAACAATGTAAGTCTTCTGATGTGTACTCTAAGAAAAAGCCTCCTTGACATTGTCACACTGCAGATTGTTCACCTTAAGTTTGGCATTTCATGCTTCATTTTACTGAAGTGTTTCATTCATCACTTCATTATGAGGTGTGTATAAAGTAGAATAATGTATTTAATGATTGTGGAGACACTTAGAATTCATTGAATTAATTAGAAAAAAAGAAGAACACATAGAGTGTAGTTCTCCTGAGTGATAGCTTGAAAACATTCTCATTTTGCATAGAATGGAAGAGGAAACTGTTTTGCTGAGGTACAAAGCCACATTGATAAATTTTTATTGAACTAATTTAGTTTTAGATTTCTTCTTCTATAGAGCTTTTCATATACATTTATAGATTTCTCTTACATCAAATCAGTTAATCTTGGGGGTAAAAAACCTCTCCAACAACACAGTGATAGTGTTATGTCAATTTATTTTAAATTTATTTAAAAAGTAGAACTATAGATAAATCTGGATTGGATATCCTACTCTCAGGTGAGAGAAATCTTTCTCCCTCTGGTCCACATGCAGTTAGCTGCAGTTGCTGTCCATAAAACCGAACGGTATCCAAGAATACCCTCTGTTCAGTCAGTCCCCTCCAAAGAACTGGCTACTCACTTGTACATGAGTGGCTGGACCTATGTTTGGAAGACCATTACCCCCTGATTATTTTTAGCTGATCGCTTAGGACTATCATGTGTTATAATATATTTCACAACTTATTTTTTTTTTATTCCATGAATAGGGTTTTTATCTATCATGAGGTGGAGTAACTTTCTCATATGGCTTTCAGGTGCCAATCTTTCATAGGGGAAATGCTCTTTGTCTCAAAACAAATTCAGTTAAAAATGGTCCTGAATTTTGTAACAGATAATCATGTTCACAATGGAGCTAGTTTATGGCCTTTCAGCTAAACATCCTTTGAGCTAAACATCAACAGAATAGGGCTTCTGAACTTTCATGTAAGCCAAAAAATATTCTAAGAAAAAATGCATTTAATCTTTATTGTGGAGCTTTTCTGTAGCCGTGATGTATTTGTGAGTCTATTAAGTTAAATTCACATTCTGAAAAAGTTACATAGGCATATTGGACAAAAATTTTCAGATATTCATACTTCAATATAAACAGATGCATTCAATACAAATTGATGCATTACATTGCATCACCTGTAGGTGGTGTCATTAGAGCAAGTCTATGAAAATATGGTTTACTTTGATATGTTATACTATTAATTAGGGTGTGTATGATACAGCCTATCTTTACTCAGAACAAGATGGAATGCATTGTAATTATTTTTCACCCACTGTTTCAAGTCACAGAAATGGAGAAGTATTTGTACTTCATTCATTTGTAACTTGCCTTTTGTTTGTTCTGTTTATGCTTCTGTGGCTTAGGGTGGGAAAATATGTTTTCTACATATGCAGTAATGTCATCTTTTTATTTAAAGCTTTTTTTTTTTTTGAAATTTTATCTTTTAATCTCTTTGTAGAGAGTTACTAGAATTGCATTTCTTTGAAATCTGTCTATTAATACTTGCCTATTTTATTCTTTTTCTCTTCTTTTTTTTCTTTTCTCTTTTTATTCTGCTTCCTTGGATGCTTTCCCAAAGGAGGACAAAGTGGTTAGAATCCATGCTTTTTATCATTTATTATTATACTGTTGTTAGTTATCTGGGAAACGTTTTAATGTAAAAAACTGAACTGAAATTTTAGTCATCCGCAGGGGAGGGGGGAGGAACAGGAACCCTAACATCCAGGCCTTGCCCATCCCCTAGCTTAACACAGGCTTCAAAGATAGCCAAGCAAGGAAACCAGAGACTGTTGTCAAAATTGGGACAATAAAAGGAATTAGTTAAGAACTTAGAATTATTAATAGGCTATAAAATAGAGGAGGTAATAAAGTGTAATAAAGCTTTAGTTCATAAAATTGTATTTGGTTAACAACTTGACTTTTTGCATGCAAGGTCCTTCCATCACATTCAGGAAATCTAATTTAGTATTTTAATTGTAATTTGATATTGATTTACGGGGTTTGATGTGTTTCACTTCTGGCTGCAGCAGAAATTCAGGGAATTCTTGTGAAATTAGCTTTTTACTTTACATTTGGAATAATACGCATAGGCAAAGTTTAACCTCTTAAAACTGGACGTAAGTACAGTGAGCAAAATAGAGGGAATCTTTTGTGAATGTGTAGTTACCATTTCAAAAATCTGCAAAACTTTTAGGATGAAGTACTGGCATATTCACTACTGATGTCTGTGCCGTATCTGAAATAGGTGAGGATAGTTCCCTATTCATCTCTGCACCCTGTGTGACAGTACTTCAGCAGAACAGTGCATGTTCACTCACAGCCTCTTCTCAGGCAGGTTTGCAAAAGGTGATATTTTAACTTGGAGACTTAGGTAGTGGGAATTAGCCAGCAGCTGAAACAAGTGTAAAGTCATTACAGTCCAATATAGTTTCTGACATGTGAATGATAGTGTTATGCTTGTATTATGAAGTGGTGGTATGCCCCAACTTGCATCATAGCTGTAACCTGCAATTCTATACTGTGTAACGCCCAGAGAAAATTATTTCTCTCTCACCTGCATATTGTGGTAGTTTTTTCCTAAGGCAGCAGTGTTCTAAGAGCAGAGTTGTTTTTCTAATGGTTATGAGGTGTAACTCGCTACAGCTTCATTGTATTCAGTGTGGAACTCTGAAGAAAGTGCTGAAATAACCCAGGACTTCCAGATCTTTTCCGTTCTGTTCATCTAAATCACTTAGGATAGAGTGGGAGAAGTTTCAGTTTGGTAGCTAATTTCTTACTAAAGCTGTGCATCATTGATGCATCCACGGGGGTGTATTAAAAGGCTAGTGCACTTGCAACAGTCATCTTCAGAGCCAGAAACAGCAAAACTCTTAAGTGCTGTAAGTGTCATTTAGGTACAATTTAGCCATGGAGATTTTGGACGGCAATACAGGTGAACTTCACCTGACTTGCTGGAGGCATCCTTCACACTTCAGTTTGGGACAAAAACTTTGCTAGGTAACTGAAATAGTGATAGTTTCCACATAGAGTAGAGATTGTGCCTTTGATGAGGGTGACAGCTTAGGTGTTCGTCTTTGAAAAATGTCATTTGGGATCCAGAAACTAGACTACTGAAGTGCTCTGGAGACATGTGTCCCAAAGACATACCTGACTCATTTGGATTGTCCTAAGTTCAGTTAAAAATCCTCTCACTGTTTGCAGTTTCCTTGGTTTAGGTTTTGTTGTGTTGAACTCCAACCTTCCATGTGCCAAGAAAATACCCTAATAATATACTTGAAAGTATCTTCTGTACCTTGTGATGAAGCTAAGTTACATCTCTTTAACAGCTGAAAAGTTACGGGAGTCAGAAGGACAGTATCCGATAATGAGTCCTGATTGTGTGAGGAACCTGGAACTTTCTTTTATAAAGTACAATTGTTTTAGCAGTGCTTGTCTCTGAAAGCTAATGAAATGTATAGAACAAATAAGTTAAAAAATATTAACACTGTCTAGCAAACAACATCCTTTATGAGCAGAGCAACTGGTATAACTTATATAAAGCAACATGAAAAAAATATTTTGTTATTATTTTCAGTGGCTCAACATTCTTGATTAATCTACATATAGGGACAAACCCTTCTTTATCTGGTGAGTTTAATGTTAGTAAAGACTTTTTAAAACATGTTTATATGAGCCTTGTTCTCTCCACATGAATTTTTACCACATTAAATTATATTAATATTAAAACACATGCACCAAGTTCCTACAAGTTAAGGGTGCATCAGTTGGAAAGGATGATGAAGTGTGAGTTACCAAAGTGCCGAGTCCAGGAAAAGTCAAGCATTATCCTAGATTCAAGTTATTTCATGTAGAATTGCAGAATTAGTTGCAGAATTAATGAGACCTCACCTTTGACGAATACAAACTGTGATAGGCTCAAAGAAAGCAATACAGAGGATGATCAAAGAAATAGAAATCTGTTTATATGGGAGAAGACTAGAGACTAGGGTGACAAAAGCTAAGAGTAATCATAACTGATATCTAGAAATACAGTAATTTTAGACAATAAAAATAACCTTCAATCTAGAGGATAGTAAATGCAAAAAGACCATTTGGGTGTAACTTGGCCGTAAACACTCTTGGGCTGGAAAAAGATTTTGCAATCAGTAGAGTAAAGCCTTGGGAAATTTTTCCATGTGACTTATTGTAAAGAAAATAACCCAGTAACATTTTAAAGGTTAAATTCGAGAAGTTTAGGAAAGGATTTATGTAATGTGGTTGCTTGTAGCTATAGGGGGGTGTATTAGGTCCTGAAGAGAATCCTTGCAACTGTTGCTTCTAGCTAAGTACTTTTAAAATGGGATATAAATAATGTAATACTTTTTGAAGCTGTTCTTGACTTTTCCAAGTAACTACCAAATATATTTTAAGGACTGTTTCAAAAATACATAGTATATGTGTTCTGCTCATTTAAAATAATAAATGACATCCTAAAACATTCATTCCCTGTAGTGTGAGTGTTAGTTGGCATCCTAGGTTTGTCAAGAGATGACTCCAGTATGCTTACTAAATTAATTAGCAATAACTGGTAGATCCTAGTGTCTAATGAGGCACGTAACTTTCCATGATTCTTATTCTAATATGTCAAAATGCACACCTAAATATGTGTCTTAAGTTCTTCCATGTTCTTTGAGTATTGGTTAGCTCTTCATACTTCTCACCTGTGCCTGCTCGACCTTCATATGGTTGCAGGCAGGCCACATTTAACGGGAGCATTGTCAGATAAGAGGACTGATAGCTAGTCTATTTATTCAAATCAGGCTTAAATGTAGTTGCACAGTGAGAGTATTCATTGTTAATAATATTAGTAATAATATCACTGGGTTTGAAAACAGTTTGCAGTTGTTTGACGTACAGAAAAAGGACAAGTATTTTCCTTCATGTTACCTTAGTATTCAGAAACAATGTTACGTGAACATGGCAACCTATTCACTGTGACCCCTGAGCATTTCTGCATACTTCTGATGAAAGCAGAATATTATTAGTACAGGATTTTACATGAGACTTCATTTCAGAAGGAAGTCATGTAGGTGGTTAGAGAAAAGCTGCTTTTAATTTGGCAAAATGTTTTCTAGGTGTTGTCAGTGCCTTACAGTGTGTCTGCACTTTCACTCTGGATCCTTCTAATTGTGTTTTGTACACCAGCATTTTCATTGCCAAAATTCTAATGGGTTTAAGTTACTTCTTTCCGTTCCATTCACTGTCCCCTCTGATATGAACTATCGGAGTTATTAAGGCAGTGGAGAAGCCAGCAAAATGTCCAGCTGGAGCTTCTCCTTGTTTTAGCAAGCAGTGGTCAGAGCCATGGCTCAGTACTCCCACTGGCCTGGCTGCCACTGCTTGCTCTGTTCTTCCCTCCAGTGGTACCGCAGCCTTTTAGAGCAAAAAACACCTGAAAATACAGCTTTTTTCCTTGCATTATTCCTCTAAACCGACTTGCTAATATTTGGTTAGGTAATGTGTTTCCTTTGTAAGCATCTGATGTATGAAGTCATATGGCTCTGTTTCCCCTTATAGAAAAGGAGATACATTTTGGGGTACAAAAGGAGTCTTGAATGAGTGAATGCAGTTTCTTTGGATCAAAATTAAAGTATTTTGTGAGGTGATGCAGGTGTATTGACCTAAGTGAAATTTGTATGGTATTGGCAGAATTAGGTGGAAGATCCATGTTCCAAATATTTATCTATAGAAATCAGTCTACCATTCTACAGATCTCATTAAGATTACAAGTTTTGATCATGTTTAAAGTGAAAAGAATTGGGAGCAAATGATGAAAAGCAGTTTTGTCGCTGTTTCCTGTGTTTTTCTGAAATGTTAGTTGCGCAGAATAGAGCGGTTTGCTTACACATTTTTCTGTTTACATACATAAAGGACAACTGAGAGGAAATCAGTTGTAAAATACATTATAAATAAAAGGGAATTGGTTTAACTGAACTTAGTGGTATGTGACTGTGGAAAGTAATGTCAATTATCAGTGCTGAGATACTGGAGATTCATATTTCTGATCTGGCTTTCACTGAAATGATTTTCATTTTAGTATAATGTCAGTGATTTATACTTGGAAAGAAAGACAACTTGGAAACATTTCCCTAATTGTGTGTCAGGTATTTTTACAGCGTGTTTGTCATTTAGTTCCTTTAAATTATGCTTAAAATTCCCTTACATAATGAGTTGCTAATTTAAGCCTTACCAACTTGAGTGCATATGCCATGCAATTCAGCTGTGTACTGTTGGTTTTAACAGAAGTTGTTAATATTGCCAGAACAAAATGTCTGGATTGTCAGGAGTGATTTTACATCCCTTTCACAGAACTCGTATGTCAATTTGTTCTTTAAAAGGCTAATTTGTGTGAAGTTCTGACTAATCCTGCTGTAGAACAACAATAAAAAAATCCATCAGAAAGAAGAAAGATTATAAATCAAATTGCAGTGATAGGCGATCAATCTTTCTCTCTGGCATTCAACATGATTTGTTTCCTAAAAGATCTGGGGTTTGTATGCAGCAGGAAAGAAGCACTGATATTCAATAATCACATCCTAGAACTGCTGCTTT